CTCTAATAGGGTGATATGGTACTACAAGGTCATTAAGATAAGATGGGGCCTGATTATTTAAGACCTTGTATGTGAGGAGCAGGATTTTGAATTCACAGAATCTCGTCAGGAAATCGCAGTGAACAAAGGATATCACCTGGACAATCATGAAGGAAAAACTTGGTTTTATTTTTCAGCTTCCGATAATGAGTTGCTTCTGACGTCCATCTATCTTGTAAGCAGATGTGCCCCGACCTCCCTGTCCTCGGCCACGACCTGCAGCTCATCTGGAGGAACGTTGAGTCGTTCCGCCAATCAGTCAAGAGATTGGATCTCTGCAGTGCATCCTGGGGGTTCCTCGGGGTCTCCTCCCAGGTCCCTGAGGTCAGCCACAGCCGTCCTGGTCAGATACTGAACCGCTCAGCTGGCTGTAAGACGAGTATCTCGAGGTCTAAATCCTGACCCCCGGTTACACTTGTGTGCGCGATGTTATACCTCGTCTCCATAGGTTAGGAACGTGGTGGTGCTTGTTTTTACACATAATCTTTATCTGATCCTTTTTGTCGTCCTCTGTTTCAGGAATGGTCCAGAAGTTGGACCAGAAGCTCCCGGTGGCCAACGAGTACCTCCTCCTGTCAGGAGGCGTTCGGGAGGGCGTGGTGGACATGGACCTGGACGAGCTGAGCGTCTACGCCCGCGGCACAGACTACGACATGGACTTCACCCTGCTGGTCCCTGCGCTCAAACTCCACGACCGCAACCAGCCGGTGACCCTGGACATGAGACACTCGGCGCTGGGCCACTCCTGGCTCAGCCTCCGCCTCTTCGACGAAGGAACCATCAACAAGTGGAAGGACTGCTGCACCATCGTCGACCACATCAACGGCACCACCAACTACTTCTTCTCCCCAACACTGGTGGCTGACTGGTTCTACCAGTCCATCTCCCTGGTGCTGCTGGAGGTGCAGAAGAAGCCGCAGAGAGGAATGCCGAGGGTGGAGAAGGTGGAGCGGAACGGCACCATCATCTCCGTCATCCTGGGCGTCGGGAGCAGCCGGATGCTCTACGACATCGTCCCCGTGGTGTCGTTTAAAGGGTGGCCGGCTGTCGCCCAGAGCTGGCTGATGGAGAATCACTTCTGGGATGGGAAGATCACCGAGGAGGAGGTGATCAGCGGCTTCTACCTCGTCCCCGCCTGCTCCCACAAAGGCCGCAAGGAGAACGAGTGGCGTCTGTCGTTCGCCCGCAGCGAGGTGCAGCTGAAGAAGTGCATCTCGTCCAGCCTGATGCAGGCGTACCAGGCCTGCAAAGCCATCATCATCAAGCTCTTGTCCCGCCCCAAAGCCATCAGCCCCTACCACCTCCGCAGCATCATGCTGTGGGCCTGCGACCGCCTCCCCGCCAACTACCTGGCGCAAGACGACTTCTCCGCCCACTTCCTCCTGGGCCTGATCGACGACCTGCAGCACTGCCTCGTCAACAAGATGTGCCCCAACTATTTCATCCCTCAGTGCAACATGCTGGAGCACCTGTCGGACGAGACGGCCATGCTGCACGCCCGCAAACTCTCCTCCGTGCGCTCCGACCCGGCCGAGCACCTGCGCACCACCATCGAGCACGCCAAGGCCGCCAACAGGCTGACGGTGGAACTGCAGTGGCGGGGCAGCACCAACAACCTGCCATCGCCGCAGTCCGACGCCGGCGGAGAGAACCAGCCCGACGACCGGCTGGCCAAGAAGCTTCAGCAGCTCGTCACGGAGAATCCGGGCAAATCCATCTCAGTCTTCATCAACCCGGACGACGTCACGCGGCCGCACTTCCGCATCGATGACAAGTTCTTCTGAGACTGACCTCCTCCTCCTCCCTCTCAGCCTTTCTCCTCCTCGCCTTGCCCCCACCTCCTCTGAAACTTAGTTTTTTTAATTTTTTATGTTTCTCTGCCACAGAGTGAAGTGAGGTGATCGTCTAGTCGTGTCTGCCACAGTTTTTTATTTTTTATTTTTCTATTCCCGTCCCCACCTCCTCCTCTTTCACTGTGTGCCCTGTGGTTTCTACCTGCTGAATGCCTTTTACAGACAGCTGCACAGCAGCAGGTTGTTTTACAAATGAAGGACGAGATGGAAGTCCACCTTCAGCCGGCTCTGCTGCTCCAGTGTTCGTAGTTTGTAGTTCAATATAATTATCAGGGATCCTGGAAATGAGACGAGTCCACCAACTCCTGAAATCGCGACGTGTGTCTCACGCCGGACTCGCCGTCGTTTAAATTTGGCACTGACGGCAGAAACGATGTGAAAGCGAGGAGCCGGGCTAAAATCAGCTGCTTTGATTGTGGGAATTTCAGTGCTGGCGTGGCCGAAGCCTCAGTTTTAATTTCATTTTTACTTTTCTGTGATAAAGTGAAGAACAATCAAAGCATGTCATAAATAAATAAATCCTATTTCTGCACAGACTCAGCATTTCCACCCGTGTTCTTCAGGCCTTCTGCAGTTCTCATGTTGGACACCAGCCGAATTCTGATCGATGGAGATCTGATCCTGAGCTTTTCAGTTTGTGGACTCCAGCTGTTCCACCTGCTCCTTAAAGACCAGACAAACTAAAACTCCTCAAAGACGAATTTCTCCCAACGATTTAGGAAGAATTCGGTGACAATCTGTTGGTTTTCCAGCACGATGAAGCTCCAAGTTACGCGCTTCAACTAAGGCTCAGAGATGATCACATTCATATTTGGATCCGTGCATGGATCATTGATGAGGCAGGACTGGATTTGTCCAGCAGAGAACTGCAGGAGTCTTGACGGTCGGTCTAAATGCTGATCAGTGCAGAAAAACTGAAGCGAGCACGAAACGAACGTTTGGCTCGTCAGCTGCTCTTCACCTCCACGCGCTCGTTCCTTGCGATGAGGGCAGGGATAGCTCAGTAGGTAGAGTGGTTGCCCCATGATCGGAAGGTCGGGGGTTCGACTCCACTGAACGGTTACCCTGAGGTACCCTGAGCAAGGTAACGTCCCTACACACTGCTCCCCGGGCGCTGCATTGGTGGCTGCCCACTGCTTCACTGGGTGAATGGGTTAAATGCAGAGGAGCAATTTCCCTATGGGGACTGACACATACACATTATACATTATTATGACACGAGTACGAGGTTTTCATAATTACGAGCAAGTTACTCAAAATATCTAATGACTCGTTTTTGCAGCAGCTCGGCGTTGAGCGTGATTTTATCCCAAAAGCATTTCAGAGCTCGCTGATCGGACGGCGGACGCTTTCAGGAGCTGCGGACAGCCTGAAGTCTCACGTCGAGGAGTAAAAGCAGCAGAGCTTGGACGAAGGTGGATTTTGTCCCTCTGAGGAATGTCTTAGTCCCACCGCGGGACGACGATGATGGTACTAACGTCTTAGAGACTAACTGTAAATAGGTACAAAGTGACTGAACTCTGACGGGCAGAAGGAGGAACAGACTGACGATGGTTTGTCGACTACTTTTCGTCTGATTTTGCACAGAATGTAAAAAAAAAAACCGCCGTGTTTCCTCTCGATGGCGGACGCCGTGTCCTCCTCACTGTCGAATGACGATATATCATATCAGTTGATGGTGACACTTTACCGACTGGTGGTCGCGGTGCACGCTGTAGATGTTCTCATTAACCGGCAGAGCTGCAGCGATTGTGATTGGTCCAAAGGCGCAGCTTCCCCTGATGGAGTCTGACGGCTGAGCTGCCGGTTGGTGTTGCCTCTCGTTCGCCAACAGACGCCCTGGATCCCGTGTAGTTTGCAATGTTTTCCGAGTTTTCCTCATTTCAGTTTGTTTTGATGAGCTTGAGTGTAGTCCAGAATCCTTCCAGACATTCCAGGGTCCAGGTCCAGACGGATGGCGTAGCTCGTGATGGGGGCGTGGTGGGTTGACATGAAGCTCGCAGCAGCGTTTCCGTTTACTGCTCAGGTTGATCTGCTGCACGGCGACCACAGTCAGTAACGTGTCACTTCCGGCTCGATATCACCGGCCTCGCTCGCCACTTCCTCTTTCTCCATCTTGTTTGTTTTGATCACTATTTAATAAGCTTCACTGTAACTTAGTTTATTATTTCTAACCCGACTGATGTTTACTCCGCAGCTGCTTCTTAGTGTTTGGATGTCGAGGGTTCGACTCCCCTTCAGCGCCGCCGGCTCACCACGTGATCGTCAGCCTTTCAGATCGCTCGCAAAACATTGGGACCAAATCCCGATTGGGACTTTTTACACTCCAACTGTAGGTGGAGGTTTGGTCTGATGGAGCTCCAGGCTGGTTTCTGGCACAGTTACTGTGCAGTAAGCGAACGCTGTTTGGCTCCAGAAACCACCAATTATGTGGCAAACCTCAGTTTGGAGCTCAGGCAGCTTGGCGGTGGGACGTGTCTAATGAGATGGTGCTATGATGTCATCAAGGGTGTTTTTGAGGGGCACAAATCATCACAGATTTAGCCACATGACC